GAAAAGTGTTTGGAGCCCCAGTGAGACCAAACGCCATGACCTTAAACTCAAAGTGACCGGAGTGAGTGGAGAATGTTGTCTTGTGTTCCTCACCCTCCTTGAGTCTTACTTGATGATAGCCAGCAAATAGCTCCAATATAGAAAACCAGCGAGCACCAGATAATTCATCCATGAGTTGGCCAAAAACGGGTATAGGAAAAGTGCCCTTGACTGTAAGATCATTCAAGTATCGATAGTCAACACAAAAACGCCAAGATCCATCTTTCTTGCGCACCAGCAACACTGGTGATGAGAAGGAAGAACTGCTGGGCTGGATTAAACCTTGCTGAAGCATTTGTGTGACTTGGGCTTCTATTTCATCTTTAAGTGCTGGTGGATATCGATATGGCCTGATGTTGACTGGTCTAGCCCCTTGAACCAATGGAATGGTATGATCATATGGCCTGACTGGAGGAAGTTCAGATGCTAGATCACACACTGATTGGAAGTCCTACAGGAGTTGTACTATATCAGCTGATAACTGGGATGCCTCAGAAGTAGGTTGAGTCCCAAACTGAACTGATAATAGCTGAAAAACCATGTCAGAAGACTGAAATTCAGGAGAACCATGCAACACAATAGTGGAAGCCCCCATAGGAATTTGCATCCATTTGTTCCTCCAATCCACCCTCATTGGACTGAATTTCTCAAGACAATCCATTCCCACAACAATATCATAAGAGCTTATTGGCAGGAGTCTCAGAGAATGAGTGAAAGAGTGAGCAGCCATAGACCAACAACAATTTTCAGCAATAGTAGAACACTGTAAGATATCACCGTTTGCAACCTGTACTTTATAACTGGCTGGGCTCAAAGTAACAGACTACAGCTTATCAGCAACATGAGTACTGAGAAATGATGTAGTACTGCCTGAATCAACAAGAACTACAATAGGCATATCCTGAATAAGGCCAGCAAACTGCATGGTGCGAGGACCAGCAACTCCAGAAATAGATTCTTGCGAAATAACAAGGAACATTTGCTCTTCGGCAGGTGATGCATCATCAGGTTCAGAAATGGCTTCAGTGAGAGCAAAGAGTTCCAGTACCTCTTGCATGGTGTGTAGGCGAACAGTAGCCGCACACTTGTGGTCATGCGACCATTTCTCTGCACACTTATCGCAGAGGCCTCGTGCTCAACGATAGTTGCGTAGCGCTCGGAGCTTGTCTTCGGCCATCTTGGCATTAGCTGGTGTAGTGAAGCCAGCATCATCAGGTTTTGAATTGTGATCACCCACTCCCGGTGGAGGAGGAAGAGGGTACGCATTCCTGAATGCCGGTCGAGGATAAGATGCCAGATCACGCCGACCATCCTTGTGCTTGGAAGGATCAGCCACCTCTTACTGCAACAGAGCCAAGGTATACGTAGTATCCAAATTTTGGGGTCGCTGAACCACAATAACAGGATGAATATCTTCACGCAAACCATCAACAAAACGAGTTGTATAGTAGAGCATGTCAATGTTTAGGTTATAGGCTTTGAGCTGATCGATCAATTCAGAGAAGCGCTCCACATAATCGGTGACAGTGGACTCTTGGTGAATATGGAACGTGCGATGAATCAAAATTTGGTGTTGATCACGGCCAAAGCGCTCATGCAGCATGCGGCAAAAAGTGGGCCAATCAAGTGATTTTAGGAGGGGTTCTATAGATTGGATCCACCGAGCGGTAGTATCCTTGAACTGTTGTTTGGCGATTTTAAGCCAGAGGTGGGACTCAACTTGGTACATGTCAAAGTAATCCTCGGCATTAGAAATCCACAGCCGAACATTCTCACCATGGAAGGTTGGAAAGGGAAACTTAGGTAAGCGACCAGGCGGCCAGGAATGGGGATCAGGAGGTTTGTTGCGCGCGGTATACAGATCATAAGCAGTACCATGGAATTGAGGGAGTGAGTTCGTACCATTGGTCGAGGAATGAGTGAGGGTGGTGACAACCCTGAACTCATTCTCCCGTGGAGATGTGTCGACGCCATGCCCGCTGGGCCGAGCAGCCATTTCGATAGCAGATGGGCGCTTGTCGGACTGCTCAACACCTGGTGGATACGCGATCAGGCCCGGAGCAGAAGAGGATTGCTCGACAACGGACCGATCCCATGCCTTGTTCAGCTTCAGAACCTTCAGGCGCATATCGTCGAGCACTCCCTCAGTGTCCTGGCGCCACTCTTCCAGGCCACCCGTTACCTTCTCGATGATCTTCAGGCGACCATCTTGGCGGCGCTCGGACTCAGTGAGGATGCTGTTGAGGAAGGCCTCCGAGTCAGCGATGCGTCCGTCGAGGCGGGTCTCCAATTCGATGATGCGTTGTTCCACCGAGTGCTCGGCATCTGCGAAACGCCGATCTAAGATCTGCGTCTGCTCCTTGAAAAGGCGCTGGAGCTCCGCCATCAGATGTTGGCCTTCGGGACTCATGGCTCCCAGCTTCCTTGTGGATATATAGCTGCCGGCTAACCTCACTTACATCAGGTGTTGATCTTCCTTGTGGATATATAGCTGCCGGCTGAGGCGGTGGCGGCGACTCGGCGTCAGGGTTTCAAATTGAAAAAAGCTGGGAGGCCGACCCGGACCGGCGACAGCCGACGGGGCAGCCGCAGACTTTCTTGTCTCTCTGACTCTCTGTGGCTGCCTCTGGGCCGCGGCCTTAAAAACGATTTTAATTTTCTATGGATGATTGAATAAAGTGAGTGTCATTGTGACTTGGTTCTTGTGGTAACTTGTGTTGTTTTATTTAGCGAAGGACCGAAACTACAAATTTATGATGTATTCTGCTTGTGAGCTACTATATATTATTCTAGACTTCTAGTGAACTCTATGTAAGAACTATAATTTATTTATTTCATCTCACTTTGATTTATTATTTAATGTCCCTTGAATATACCTGATAGGTACCCAATAGGCGCGGGCATGGGTATAAAAACTTACCCGCGGGTATACTCGTGGGCAGGTAAAACATAGGGTCACGGGTTTGCTCGCGGGTGGGTAAATGCTTTATCTGCACTTTACTTGCCCGCTGTCATCCCTAGGATTAACCAACAGTTTTCAGTGGGAGATCAGGTCTTGCTTCGCTTACAGCCCTACACACATTCCTCAGTGACAAATCGCCCATTTCCCAAACTAGCTTACAAGTTCTACGGTCCTTATAAGATCTCGGAGAAGGTGGGCGCCGTAGCATATCGTTTGGAAATTCGGGCTGACAGTCTAATCCACCTAGTCTTCGACATTTCTCACAGTTAAAGCTGTTTCACCTAGACTACACTCCAGTGTATTCTACACTTCCAATGCTCACTGATTTGCAGGCAACAGCAGCCATACCCAAGGAGTTCCGGGAGCGTCAAGTCGTTAAAAAGGGGAACAATGCAATCCCTTAGGTACTTGTTTCCTGGATAGGTCTGCCGTCGACTACGGTGATCTGGGAAGACTTCAACGTCGTTAAGCATAGGTAACCTGATGCGCCTGCTTGGGGACAAGCAGTGTCTTCGGCGGAGGGAGCTATCACAACCCAGCAGTGAAGGCGTAAAGAGGAGGCGTTTTCCAAGGCAAAAGTCGTAACGCTAGATAGTGTGTAATATTAAGTGTAGTGAGTCTTTCTGAACTGTTGCTTGTAAGAATTATTGCATTATTATTATTAAGTAAATCGTGTGAGACAGAGGCAGTCCTCTGCTCCGTTGGCCGAATCCGGCGATCCTCTTATCATGCTCACGTCGACGGCGTCCACCGGCGGCCAAGGGTGTTACAGTCCAGCGTGTGCTCCACATGGCACAACTAGTGAGTTCCCGACAGGAAGCGGAGAACCTGTTGCGCGGTGGGGTGCCACAGTGCCAAGACGGTTAGACCAACTGAGCTGTCGGCGAACCTCGATAACCGCCTCCCAAACGACGTGTCCTACGGATTCCACCTCTATGCCCAGCCAATGACGGAGGAAACCAAGGCCTGGGTCGACGAGAGGCCTTGTACGCCTCGTCGTGTACGTCTCCTTCGGGAGTCTGCCGATCCTATAGCTCCGTTCAGATGGGCGAGGTGGGAGGGGTCGTACTCGTACAACAACGGCAAGGACTTGCATATTGGTTGTCAGAGGGACTCATCATGACTTGGAGCAGCAGACTTTAGGTGTTTGTGACACATCGTGGGTGGAAGTCGACCATCGAAGCACTAAGCATTGGTGTGCTGATGGTAGCAAAATACATTGAGGACGTTCGATGAGTCAAGTGCGAAGTTGCACCTTGACACAGAATGTGTAGCGAGAAAAGAGGTAGAATGGCGTAATGCTCATGGAATGAGAAATTAGCAAAAAAAATACATAAAGAATAGAGCAAAAAATGCTAGAGTGAAGATTGCAACTCGGACAACAAATATCGTGAAGCACCTCAGCTAAATCCGATTGAATTTATTTGTTATGGCAACACATAAACATGTCGAGAAATAGAACTTGTACCTTGGATTGGGAATTCATATCGACGCCTAATATAGTACACAGTACTATTCACTCATCCGTAGTTTGCCATTACTTAGCTCAATTGTTTTTTTCTTTAGATATTGCCTCTATAAAATGCTCCACCGCCAGTTCTATAAAGGTCATGTTACTTTTAAGCAATTCAGCAGCAGCAATTTTGCATCAAATGGTGCAATGCAAACGATTCATCGTATTCTAGTGTTCTACAAAAACATGCTACAAATAATAGTGAAACATGCATTTCAACCTGACATTGTGATCAGGAATGCCTTCAAAGCTTCAGTCCACAAAAGGAATCTAAATAGGGAAGCTCCAATGGGCCAAAACTACCATCAACACAGGATCAATGTATTAGAAATTGTGTACATGTTTACTACCACGTCCACCCTAAATCCTAGTGTTACTAATGCACAACTGTTACACAAACTTGCAAGTGGGCGGTGGAACACCGTTTCCTGGTTTACAAGCAAGGCTGCACTGTCCTGTTCGGTATTTGTTTTGGTTTGCAATCAATCAAGCGCTCGGAGCTGAACTGGGTATCTTGAATTGCTTCTTTACATAATGTGATGCCTCTGAATCATTTCTGTGACACAGGACCCTAAGAAGAGTTTTGGAGTCCGCTTCAAATTTGCTTTTGCCCCCTTGAGTAACTTCTCGTAGGTCATCAATAAGCACACGGGTCTGCAGATATATGATGAACAATAACACGTGATGCTATATAGATAACATTAAGGTATGTACAGATTTCCTTGAACATGAAGGATAGCTATGTATCATTATATATTAAGAAGAAAAAGGGGGAAAGAACCCTCACAAGCACACTCACTAACACCAGAGAGACAGACTCCTACTGACTGCAATTAGGCACAAGGGCAAGGAGAAATGAAATGCCCCTAGCCTGGTCAAATCCCCCAAAGTATAATTCCTCTCTAGCGATGGGCAAGGCCTCAGCTATGCCCCTAGCCTGGTCAAATCCCCCAAAGTATAATTCCTCTCTAGCGATGGGCAAGGCCTCAGCTAGGCTAAAAGAGCTCACTTGAGTGAGAATACTGGGCCAGTGGGCCCTAAGGGATTTTAGGACGCTAGTACGAAGTTACAATGAACCACTAGCTTCTAGCACCCAGCCTAAGTTACGTCTATCTGGTTGGTGATGGTTGTGGCTAGCGGTAGGTTTCACTGTCCACCTTGGAGGATATTCTTGTGGACTGAACTTTATATGCACGTATATGTGACAAGATCAGATCATATATAAAGAATCTTGCTTCATGATATTACATTTGTGACCAGGACGTTTCCATCTCAGTTTTCTGGGTTGGGATGATTCCATCTCTTTGTTGTTTGGTTGTGCAGATCGGGCCATCCCTGTTTTGTGTTTGGTTTGAGGGATTGAGAGGAATGGGATGGATGTCTATTTCACACCATTACCAACTGTTGTTTGTGGGGTCCATGTGCCAGTCTCCCTATGCCTTGTCTTCTCCCTGGGCATGTGGCCCAGAATGAGCTCGGCAAGGCCACCGGGACAGACAAGGCAGCTGGCGCCCACCGGCAATATTGGGAGAGGAAATCAGGCGTCAGCAGGAGAAAGAGCACCAGGCGTCGGCGGAAGGAAGAGCACAGAGGGCGGTTGCAGGGGCGCCTCTTCGCACCAGAGAGTCGACAAAAAAAAGGAAAAAAAAACATCAGAGAGGGCCCGTGCCCATCTGCCTCCAAGCCACAGGGCTGTGAAGTCGGCTCGCCCGTGGCCCCTGCCTGGCTGTTGAGGCCACCCCTTGCTGACTGCGAGGTGAGGAGGGGAGGCGGTGGCATGGGGAGACAGCATGAGCAAGGGACGAGTCGGTCCGCCATTTTTTTAGGGACGAGTCGGTTCTGGATATGAGGGAATATTCCCAAGTTGAACTGTCCCGTCCTCCCGTGTCTCTGAACCAACAGTAGGATGAGGTGAGATATCCCACCTTGTCCCTGTCCTGCCCCCAAACCAAAACCTTAAGTTTTATGCTAGACTACAGATTAGCATATAGATATTAGGAATTGTCATTTTCTAAAAGCTATGGCAACACATGAGCACCTGATTAGTGAGAACATAATCCAAACTTTACCTCTTGCTTGATCAGATTTATTACAGGACGTACACGCGAGACCAAGTTTTCAACAGTTCCCCGAGGCAGTCCATCTCCACCAGAAATAAAAAATTCCTACAGCAAGTACATGAATATTTAGATCACAGTTAATTGTTTGGTCAACAAAGACAGCAAAAACAGTGTCCAATCCTGTCAAGGCATGATACTCCATTCCAGATTATATGCCATTTTAAGTTTGTACATGTCAAACAACTCAGATTTTGACTAAGTTTTTAGAAAAAAAAATATATATTGGCATGTATTAATTATTTAATTCAAATAAATACACTACCAAAACATATATTTGATCGAAATTTGAATGAAACTAATTGGATGGCCCTAGGTGTTGTATTTTCTATAAGTTCGGTCCAATTTAGAAAACTTCATCCAACCATATATATACTCCGGTTGCAGCATATGTGATCATAATGTTGCTCAAAGCGGTGAATTGAACTTCGAATACATAGACTGATGTAAACATGAAACAATCACACACTCAAGTTGACTTCAATTAATATTCATAATCTTTTCGAGAGCTACAACTTTCATATAAATTTCATCTCCATCCAATTCTGTATGGAAAAAATATTATTTTTCTGGTGACACCCCAGTATGTGATTAATATGGTGCTGGAAGTTTGTATCAATTATTTAAACATCTTAACGACTTTAAATGAAAAAACACGAACCATAATGTTGTAGATCTTGTCAAGAGCTACAATTTTCTGCAAATTGTATACCCATCTGACCTCGTATGATAAATATATGATTTTTTGTGACAAGCCCTGGTATGTGCTTAATATGTTGTTGAAAGTTTGTAACAAATGAAAAAACTCAAAACTAGGAAGTTGTAGACCTCATCTAGTGTTACAATTTTTTGTTAAAAAAAAACATCTCCAGCCGACGGCTTATGAAAAAGATATGATTTTTCTAAGGTTTAGCCTTGCCATGCTAGTCCAGGTGGCATGGCTGTTCTATTTTGCCATGCCAACGGGAGTGGTATGGCAAGCTTTCCATGTGGAATATGTGCCGATAGACCCTCCCACGACTCTAGCGTGGCATACCTTGCTGTGCCAATGCATGAGACGCAGAAAGTGATTTGCCACGCCACGTGAATTGGCACAGCCAAAAGAGTTATGAATAAAAACAAAAGGTGGGTGGGGTTATTTTTAAAGTATAATTTAAAATGGGTTAAAAATACAAAAAAAAAATCCGATAAACAGCCATCTAGCATAAAATGGAACCACTATTCTGATGTCCCTTAAGAAAATAAATAAAATACAGCAAAGCAGGCAAAATAATTCTGTAAATGATATAACCTTCAGGGTTTCAAGATCTTCCTCCAAAAAAGCTGCATCATTTGGAGAGAAGACACGTGTAGAACCTCCATCCAGTATCACACGAAGTAAGCCATCCTACCAATCAAGAGAGCTTTAAGAACATAGTTCAGAATGTCATGAAATCCCATCCTAAAAGTAGTAGCTAAAGTGATTACCAGGGATGCTTGCAGAAGCCCTGTAACCACACGATCCCTCAGTTGTTCCACAATGACATCACAAAGTTGATTAAGGACCTGAAAATGAGCTGTAGCATAAATAAGGAGCACCATAGTTCAAGAGAAACTCAGGTTTTTAAGGTTTTTAATTTAACAGCTTATGCTTGCACTTTGGTCTGAATGCCAGATAGAACTCAGGGTAACAAAATCATGTTACTGTTCCTCTTTAACAACAGAATGAGAAACAGACAAATATGGACACATCATTGCATGTTCACAGTTAAATATGATCTTTACCATGCTTGGGGATGCAGTCACATGTCAGTATTCAAAAATTGTTCCAGTTAAACACAAACATGATGTGTCCAGTTTGAAAGAAAAAAGAATGGAGAAAATGAATTCCTTGAATAGCTAATCCATATTATGTAACGTACCAAATCAAGCACTTCTGTTATGGTGTCCAATCGAGCTTGAGAAACACCATTTCTGTATAAATTCTCAATAAATGGCTGCTGCAGGTCCCAGAATATAACCTTTGTCCCTACAGAAGAAAAAGAAAAGGTTCAAATATTAATAGCAATAAGCTTCTACTGAAACATTGCCTCTATATATTTCCTTACCAGTAAATTCACACAGACGATCAATAGCAGTATTGATTTCTTTTCTACTGCCATCAAATTGATTTTTCTGATTAGGGACGGCACTCTTTGACTTTTCACTTGTTGTTCGTCCTGGCAAATAAATTACAATCATATATATGATTGGCTTTAATCTACAAGGACTCGACTAGGAAGATCAAGTAATTTTGGGAAGTTACCTATCAAGAGATAAACTGTATGAAACTACTAGAAAGAGAACTTACTGATGTTAGTGTTTTCACTTTTCTTCCGAGCCCACCTCTCATTAATGCTGTCCTCCAACTTACTCAACTGGCTGATACCATACTGCATAATAAGTGCTTCTGATTAGAAAGCTCTAACAAAGACGAGAATTAGGCCCCATTTGATGCTGCTCCGAGGGGCTCCAGCTTTGGCTCCCAAAGCACTGTGCAACACTGTTTGTACTGTAGCGCGCTGTGACAGGGAGAAAAATGTCTCCTGCTCCAGCAAAAATGAACTGGGAAAGGGAGGAGCTGCATATTTGGGGCTTCTCCTGGCTCCGCTACAGTACTGCTGCAGGGAAGGAACAGGAGCCGGGAGGAGCCCCTCAAAACAGGGCCTTAATACAATAAACAGGGAAAGCATTTGAAAGACAAGGATGCTGTGTGATCCATTGATGTAAATCCTGGCAAAAGCATAACACTATAGACACCATGATGGAATATAAGGTTTCAGAACACTGAAATGTAGACAGCATAATCTAAATTACTGGTATTAAACTAGGATATTCCATCGCACCATATTAATTATAGCTATAAATTTAAAATGGAGGTAGCCATACTAGGAAACGTGACAGACAAAATTGATTAGAAAATGCATATAATATAAGAACGTGCACTATCTTTGAAACCTGTTTTGGTCTGATCAATGGCTACATGGACGCTCTTTATCAGACTTAGGCCTGATTTGGTTGCTTGTGTGCCAAGGACTGTCGCTCAAGCTCTTGTAAACAGAACCTGGGTAAGGGAAATTCAAGATGGACTCTCCTAGGAAGGCTTGATGCAGTATGTTCAAATTTTGCGCACTTTAGAAGAGGTGGCCCTGAAGATGAGGATCAACTCTCTTGGCGGCATGAGGGAAGTGGTATTTTCTCTTCTAAATCCACTTACAAAGCATTCCTCTTTTGTGCTATAACCTTTGAGCCTTGGAAGCGACTCTGCAAATCTTGGACTCTTGGTTGACATTCAAGTGCAAGGTATTCTTTGGCTTGCACTTAGAAACAAGTGCTGGACTGCTGACAGACTAGCTAAAAGGGGTCTCCCTCATCCAGAGAAATGCGTGCTGTGTAATCAAGAGGAGACGGTGCAACATATTCTCACTAATTGTGTCTTTGCTCGGCAATTGTGGTACAGCTTACTGGCCCCTGTTGGTTTGGATCACACATTCACACTGTGCCTAGACGCAGTGAATCAGTGATAACTGCTTTGCTGATTGGAGGAAAGCCAATGTGAAGGTTCATAAAGCTCAAAGAAAAGGGTTCAACAATGCTGTGATCTTTGGCTCTTGGACCTGTGGAATCTCAGGAACATATATGTTTGAAGGAGTTGCTCCTCCTTTGCCAGCTGCCCAGTTGTTCTTTAAAGAAGAGTTGCAGCATTGGTGTTTCGCTGGTGCCCGAAAGCTCCAGATGTTATTTCCTGGTCAGGGGGAGGGTATTGGTTGGGCTTTTTTTTTTCTGGTTGGATCATGCTACTGTTTTAGTGCAGGTGTTTTAACTTATATATTTTCTCGTGCAACCACTTCTAAGTTCCTAGAGGTGGTAACATGGTTGCCTTGTACGAGGTTTCTTCCCCTTTCTCTCTCTTTAATAGTTTAATATAAAGGTACGCAGAAAAAAAAATCTTTGACTACAACAGAAATTTACACGATTGTGTCTGCAGTCCCAGTGCCGACCACTCCAAAATGCTCAGGAACTAATTATAAATAATCATGAGCTATGGCAATAAGAGACTCACATATAGACTGTTAAGCCGTACACACAGCTTTGGCATTGTAAGCTGAGTAATTTCACTAGCTTTCCTCTCATCAACTGTTCTTACTTCTTGGACCTCCTTTTTTACAAAAGCCTTGATTCCAAGCTCCTTTTTATATCGAGTAAGAACAGGAACAGGCGGAGCTAAATCTTCTTTATCAACTACAAGCAGACAAAAGCCATTGTCACTTGATAGCTAGACAAATGAAGATATTTTAATTAGAAAAAGAGTTAGCAAAATGTGATGGATATTTCTCTATTTTTATACTGAAAAGTAGGTGTCTATACTTGTACAGTATACATTATTGAGCACGCATGCACAAGAAAATATCTGCCTTAGATATCAAGAAGCTCTAAAGAAAAGAACATGATCGTGCAAACCTAGGGGTGCAGTGACAAGCTGTGTATAAACTTGGAATGCCTTGTCAAGACCACGGCATAGACTATTTAATTCTCCATCTCGCATAGGAACCTTAAATGCAAAAAATTGATCTGCAGTCTGCAATAGTTTGTGAAGAATCAGCATTTTGCTCTTTAGAGATCAGTGGGAAGCGGATTATAAACAGCTCAGTTAAATCACCAAAAAAGTTGATACAGCAGTTGAGTTATATGTAGCATGCTGTATCACAAGAATTAAAGCTAGGAAGGAAAGAGCATGGAGAAATATTCATGGAGTGTAGGTACAGCAACTATAACAAACTCATCATGTTCACATGTTAATTACTGGTAGTCGTTGACATGTGTTGCCCTTTCTTAATGAAATGACAAATCTGCATCATTGCACAACATGTGTGAAAGGACCACTCATAAAATCAGTAGAAGTAGTAAAAAGAAGTAAATAAGGAAACATATAAAATGGTGATCGAAGATGATTTCATATATCTCTAACACACAAATGTATCTTCATGTACATTACATAGAACCCAAATTTTATGGCTCGCCTTTCAACAACAACAAAGCCTTTAAGTCCCAAACAAGTAGGGGTAGGCTATGGCTCGCCTTTAGAGATACAATTTACAAATGACTTTTTGATACTTTTCTGTCACATTTTTAACCACTCATATTTGAGTTCAATATTTGTTTACTTATTTCTTTATTTTTAGGATGAAGGGCGGGCCTGGTGCAAGCGGTAGAGTCTTACCGCCTGTGACCGGAACGTCCCGGGTTCGAGTCGCGGTCTCCTCGCATTGCACAAGCGAGGGTAAGGCTTGCTATTGACACCCTTCCCCAGACCCCGCACAGAGCGGGAGCTCTCTGCACTGGGTACGCCCTTTTTTTTATTTCTTTATTTTTAGGATGACAAGCTGAGCTTTGGGTTGCCATAGCACAGTAAAGCCATGGCTACAGTAGAAGCAGCAGCCCTCCATAGAATTTTTAGTTGCTTAACCCTTAATGTAGATGATTTGCTAGGGACATGTAAATCAGATTTGTTAGATCTTGTCAAATAACCGGCTCTATAAATAGGAGACCAGACACTGTTGTTGCATTAATGGACCAGCTACAGAGCCACACTGGCACAAAGCCAAAATCATGAAAGACAACATTACTACTCCATCCATTCCAAATTGTAAGTCATTTTAGGTTTCCAAGATACATAGCGTATCTAAGCATAACATATAGGTGCATAGTAAAAGCTATGTACTCCCTCCGTTCCAAATTATAAGACGTTTTGGCTTTTCTAGATACATAGCTTTGCTATGCACTTAGACATACAATATGTCTAGATACGTAGTAAAGAAATGTATCTAGAAATGCCAAAACGTCTTATAATTTGGAACGGAGGGAGTATCTAGAAAAGACAAACAACTTACAATTTGGAATGGAGTATTATTTTGTTGGGTAATAATGAAAACATATAACAGCAGGCAGGGATGCATGAAAACTTTACCATGCCCTCAGAAAAAAAAAAGGAAGAAACAAATTACTAGACTATACGTAGATGCTCCAAGGAGCTAAAGCGCAATAACTGTCATCACCTACACTACTAACGTCATGGCATGGGAATACATACAGAGAGTTTATTATTAATGATTGCATAGTTAAGTTATAATTAAACAACAAAAATTATTTGGTGTGCAGGAGGACGCACGTCCTGGACATCGGGTCCATCAGATTGGATCATCATGATTAGTTCTAATGACAGGCTTCTAACAGCAGACTTCTTCCTCCCTCCTTGCCTAACCTTCTTCCTTGGCCCTCCGCTTCGCATCCCTCTCGACGCCGCTGTGACCACGTCTGCGGCCCCTGCAAGGTTACGGATTGGGGTTCGGGGTTGGGGATTTTTGGGACCTCTGGCTGTAGAGGGATGTCCTAGGAGGTTACCGGCCTGCGGTGCTGGTGGCTGGTGGGCGGGATGGCGAGGCAGCAGGGTGCCCGCCAGCCAGTGGTGGTGAGACAGTGGTTGGGCAAGGAAGGAGGTTAGTGTCAGCTGTGGTGGAGGGCAGAAGCTCCGGGAGGGGCGGGGTGGGGGACCATGGCGTGCTGGGTGGAGGTCAATGGAGGAGTTGGTTCTGTATGGGTGAGGAATACAGACGGCTGAAGCGCCTCTGTTATCCTGTTACTTCGTTCTGGTGAGGAGCTACACAAGGACGGTCATGATCTCACGGGCGTGCGTCCCCCTGGGCACTGTTTCTGCTTTTGATTAAGCAATGATATTCTTTCATCCAAATCAACATTTTAACAACACGGCGTTGCAAACATAATATCATAACAAATTACAAAGTGCAAATAAAATAATTCTGAGATTACAGCATGAAAGAAAAACTTCATTTTAATCAAAACAACTTTTAGCATGAATGAAATTTCAAAATAATGAGGAACAAAAGAAGCACCTCTTCTATGATTCTATAGACTTCTACAATAGAATTCCCATGGCGTTGTTGAGGGGATATAGGGTCCCAAACCTGTGGAGAATAAAAATTAGAATAGAGAAGATAGGAACATAGAAAACGATAATTGTAGTTTATAATAACTAATGTTACAAGCAAAAATAAGCCAGCAAAGAACTGAGAAGGAAATGCAAGCAGTGGTCAAAATTGTTATTGGATCCTTACACAAACTCACAGATAGAAAACTGCAATTATATATATTTGAAAACAGAACTAGACCAAGTAACAGTTTCAATAGATTCCAGAAATCCATTGTTCAATTCTGGAAAATTCCATAAATCATAGCAGCTTTAAATATCACAAATATATAGTCACTATTTAAAACATAAAGCTCAAGTAAACATTATATAAAATTTGTCCTAAGAACATATGTTTTTACTTTCTTGAACTAAAGGTCAAACCATCAAACTAACAAATACGCGGAAAGATACTTCTAAGGATATAAAGAATTTGGATATTTCATTTCAAATCCCATGGTGAATGGGCGTACTAGTAATAAGACAATTAGAACAAAGAAATTATATAAAAGGGCGTACCCAGTGCAGAGAGCTCCCGCTCTGTGCGGGGTCTGGGGAAGGGTGTTAGTGGCAAGCCTTACCCTCGCCTGTGCAATGCGAGGAGACCGCGACTCGAACCCGGGACCTTCCGGTCACAGGCGGTAAGACTCTACCGCTTGCACCAAGTATATAAACAAAAAAAGTCACAAATGTGTTACCTCTTGGTCAGCAGCCCTTTTAACCCAAGTTTCAATTCTCTCAAGTTGCCCATTCACCCAGCGTAAAACTAATGTACCAGATTCACTTTCAATCTAAGAAAAGGAAAGCAGAGAATTAGGATAAACAACACTACACCAACAATGCTCTTAAATACATAACACATTATCTATCTTTCACTGTGCAGCACACATTGGTTGATAAAATGGCAAAAAAATGTAAGGTAAACACATGGATTGCTTTGCGCTTATCTAAGTTTTAATACTACTTCATGAAGGTTAAGCTGACCTGATATGGAGCTAGCTTATGTCTGAATATGCTATCCAAACCATCATCTCCAGTAACAGAGGTCATCACAGACATTATGTATTGCTCCAAAGCATCAGCTGCCGGAAATACAGAAACCACGTCCTCCGTAAGATGCTCAGCATGCTTAAGGAATGGTCTCTGGCAAAACGATTCTATGTAAGCATGCAGAATCACGAAGTTACAAAGTCAAAAACATTTAACAGATATGCTGGATATAACCTACCAATTTATTTCCATAAAGTTTATGGATGAGAGAAGCAGAAACAACTGCTGCCTGTGGATGCCATTTTGTCAAAACAGGTGTAAAAATGGTTGTATCTTTCTTCAGAAGTTTCTTTGTCTCCTCAGCTAGAGACGCTAAAACATGTTCATGTGTAGAATCTGCTTTGAACTCTACAGAATGTGCCATCTGAAAGGAAAAGAGTAGAATGTTTCATCAACCAATGAAATGGTAGCATATTTTTCTTACAAGAAATGGTATGATGGTAACATATCATCAAAAGGAACACAAGTATGTGCCAATTCTTTATTGTGCTATCTGAATTTTAACGATGATGTCCAATTCAGGTTTAGACACAGGGAAGTGATCCACAGAAATGTTTAGACACAAAGGCAAAAAAGGGCAGACCCAGTGCCGGAGGCTCCCACATGAGTGGGGTCTGGGGTAGGGATAAACCGAGACAAACCTTTTCCCCGCAAAATCTGCGGAGAGGCTGCTTCGAACCCACGACCTGGTGACTCAGTGAGACAGCTCTCACCACTCCACCAGGCCTGCCCTTCATTTAGACACAAAGGCACCACTACAAATCCTTTATAACAACATGGCCAGAAGTATCCACAGGAATGTTTAGGCAAAGGTACAAAAACAACCATCCAGTCCAGACCATACATCTCATATCAGGCTTTGATGTCCTCTACCATAAAAAGAAAAAGAACAATCATCTAACACATCCAGCTAAGAAGAATCTTGTCCACACTAGGAATAATGCAATATGATGTTTCCCTAAGAGTCAAGGTTGTCAAACAGATAGAAATGAAATGTGAAAAAGCAATGTACAGGTGCAATGACCAGTGACAACTGATAAAGATTCAAGGTTTCACATATGACATATGAGAACATAGATGTGTCATCGATAACCATCTCATGGTAAAATGGGGTTAAATCAAAGATAGGAAATTTAGTCCATATAAATTAGAACTACACTACAAATGGAATAATAATGGCTGCTGCACAAATGTCACCTTCAAGAAAGCACTTTTGACTGAAGAAGTGATGTAACGGTCAATCTGATCTCTGTCAGGAGACTCCAGTGCCTGATGCACAAAAGCAAATGGGTGCCCAAAATCAGAATTTTCTAAATGTGCAAACAGTGAACAGTTCTGCTCTCTATACTCTGCAGTGATTGTATTCAAATAGAACAAGAAATTGTTACCATTAAAGTGGTGTGGCAACAACAGTGGTCAGAAACAAAAGTAAAGTAAAAGCACCTTGTCATTTTCTTCACAAAGGATCCGCCTTGTCATCATTGCCACTGTCACAACATCAGCCATCAAGCTAGGGCCCTGTAAATATAAAGAAAGTCTGAATGTGCAGAAAATAATGATCTCTTGTTGCAAGCAAATGAGAGTAAAAAGGTTCAGTGTGGTATATTATATACTCCCTCCAATCCAGTTTATAAGGCGAACACGCAAAACAAGGTTCAAACTTCACAGTCTTTGACCAATTATTTGGTGAACAATTGTAATATAAACTTGATATGGTTAGATTCGTGATCAAATATACTATCCAATGATCATAATTTTATAATGATAAAAAAATATAATATAGAATAAATGAATGGTCAACTTGTAATTTGGGTGACCGTGCTATGTTTGACTACGCCTCACGGCGCCTCGGCCCGGATCACGTAGAACCAGACGGAGAGCGCGCCGTTGCGCATCGCAGCCTCGCCAGCGTCGCCACCGCACACACCAACTTTTAGGGAAGTGAAGAGAGGAGAGTTCGGATGGGGAGATACAGATGAGAGAGAGGTTGCAGGGCCGCAGGGGATGGATGGATGCACGCAGAGTTGAGGAGAAGATAAAGGTAGTCACTTATTTTTGTATTTGGATATATAATTAATATTAAAGTATTGTGTGTTGCTTTCATCAAACCAGGATTCCAGTCATGCATATGCGTGCGAGCATGTGACCAACATGCATGGCAATTAATCGGCCAATGCATGATCCATACAAGGACACTATCATATTAATGTAAACATTAACTTATATTATATTGTCGATGTTATGGTTATAAAATAATTAATTGTAGCTTAAAAATTTATACAAAAGATAAACAAACATAAATAAATACGTAGAATTTCCACCGTCGTGTTTTCATGAACATTTGATGAATTTTTTCTCCCGTTGCAACGCACAGGCATATTTGCTAGTATAATATAATGTATGAAATGCGTAGAGTAGCATATGCCAGTTACTGAAATCTGAATAATAGCGCCACATGACCCATGGATAAAATGGTGGATCAAGAGAAAAACATGTGGTAAATCTTATGCATAGGAAGTGAAAATGAATGAAACATATAAGAGGCCAAAATGAGAGAGAGATGAAGATGACAATGTTCATAAGAGATTGCAGAACTACATTTATTGATTGGACTAGAAAGGTAATGCAATTACATTTAACTTAGCTAAATAACGATGGACAACCTTATGCACATGTGTGTTGAGGATTAGTTCAAAATAACAAATGAACAAAAGATTACATGAATGGGACACGTTACAAAAATAATCTTCAGTAAAAAGGGTATTGTAAATATTGCTACATAAAGAAAACAAATTAACAAAATCAAACATTTGTCGAAACAAAGGGATTAGCTTCCAAATAGTAAAGGGTATATTTTCCATAGAATAACTGCCCATGCATACAGTGTAGCACAAGACCAAACCAGGAGGTTGGAAAACAAACCTCGGAGAAATGTAGGTGATAGTCATTTAGTTTCTTGTCCACCCATTTCTGAATTGGAGACAGGAAAGACTGGAAAAATGTGAAGTCTTGATAGCTACCCTCAGCATCAACAGAACTACGCAGGATTTTCAAGTGTAATCTTTCCTGCGGACCACGCTGTTCTTTCAAAGGTATCTTCCTCAAATGGCCAATCACAACTTTCAGAAGTCCTTGTTCACCTGTAAGAACAAACTGAGTTGCAAAACCTACGTCAATTATCATACTCTTTCTTTCTTGAACATGCAGGAGATTATCACACTTATGGAGGCAAACCTATTTGAGCTAAACCAGTAGCACAGTGCAGAATAGGACTTTGTAGAACATCTAGCCTCCAGTGAACTATTGCATATGCAAGAGACTCTATTTGCCTCGAGAGACAAAAATAAGTGTGGTTAAGAGTTTTAGATTTGATTCTACACTCGTAGATTTCCTACTTCATGATAGGTTTAACTGGCCAAGACCATTGGGATTTTGTGCAAAGGGATAGTTGTCAGATCAGATTTACTGAACACACACACACACACACACACACACATATATATATATATATATATATATATATATATAAACACAAAACTTGAACCCCTATCCTGAACAACCTCCTCCCTGCTTTTGACAGATGCGGAACTTTTAAGCAAAATCCCAAGATGTTAAAATAGGCTCAATTCAGTAAGCAGTTCGTGGACAATAATCAGCAGTGAAGAAACACACTGGTTGCTGTTGTAAAGATATTTGGGGGCAACACAGAAAAAAAAAACAGAATTTCAACAAATTTAGCCTTAATTTTATTTCATCATGGATTCACCTGTCGAAATAATACCCATGCATAGCATGTATCATGAACAGTCTCTGTGATTCCTAGTATCCGCCAAGTTGACTTCAAGAGTTCAAGGATTTCCTCTGCCTCCTGGTGGATTAAAGAAAAAAGGTAAGAGAAACATCATGGCTAATGGTGAAATTAGTCAGTGGAAAACTGCAATCATGAATTTGAGATGGCGACCTCTGTAAGTTTCCCCTCATCCAAGATGTCAAAAACACTGCCAAGCATCTTCTCATACAATGCTACATTCAGATGGTATCCATCAGCCCAGTGACAAACCTCACCAGTAAGATCACCCCGGGCAGGCCTTTCAGATAGAGAAGTGGCAACTTCTCTCAGTGATCTTAAGCATTCTGTGCGTTGAACCTCCGCAGCAGATGGTGGCAAGGACTAGCGAAAAATACACAAGGATAATCCTGAATTAGTGGAGATTTTGTGAAAGGGTTATAAGAGGTCAAGCATGATACTTTTGTTGTGTATGAATAAAACCTCGGATTCTTCAATCTTTCTAAAAAGGCTCCTTAGCTCATTGACTTTTCGACCTAACTCCCCAAATCCAACAACTGGATGGTTTATGAGGCCTTCCTCCAGCATGTTTAACTAAACCCCAAAAAACACAGATGAAGGATATAATGTTATGAAATGAGTATATGGTTCAAGGTCATTTAGAAAATAATTGACCAAAGCGATGCTAACCTGTCTCTTCTGCCAACGAAGGTATGCTTTCATGTCAGAAAATTCAGCTCTGGATATGCAGCATAATAGTTCCAATGGAATCAAAAGATTGTCCATCCGTTTTCCAACTTTGCCAACCATAGCATTGAGTAATCCTTGCCTAGTTCGAATATCCATGGACTCTGTTATCTATGCAAAAAAAAGGGGGGGATGCAGTCAGCAAATGTAAAATGAGCATATTTAAATGCTTTATGAGACCTGGAATCACCAAGATACAACCTAGGGAACTGTAGACTTCCAAGTGGCAAGTGCCAACTACCAAAAACTAGCTATTCACTTAATAATTTCGAATAGCAAATCAGTCACTAGATTCGGTTAGACAAATAGCAGTTCCACTATATTCAGCAATTTTCCTAAAAAATTCTGGTCATCTACACAGGAAACAGGCGCTTATATTCCTTTTGATTTAAGGTACAAAAATCCCTTAAGAAATTTTCTTCATCAAAATGAGTTAGTATCACAGTAATGCCATCTAATCACATCAAAAGTTTGCATTTAAAACGCTAATGGCAATAATGACGTTTCAGACTACAAAGTTCTTCATGAAGTCTTGTGTAATACTCAAAAGAAATTAAGAAGGTAGAAGCATACAAATGTAGAAATATAATTAAAATTGAGTGGATTAATAAGTTAAGAAAAGTGGCATGCTAATCTAGTCATCAGGGGAAAAAAGTTAAGACATCAAACCTCAAGTTGAGCTCGCATGGTTTCAAGCAAACCAACTAAACCAGGTTGACGTTGAGTGTTGGTATCCACACTTTCACTCTTACTACGACCGAATTTCCTCATTAATCTGTGCCTCTTCTCTTTTTTCTTTTCTTTCTGAGGAACTATAAGACCCCTAAATGTACCAAAATAGGCTAGGTTATATTGTACCCTAGGAAGACTTGTTATCTTTTAATGAAACAACTATGTGGATGTAAAGAGATGCACAGGCCTACCCTGAAGCACCAGCAGCAGCAACAAGGATCTCATATGCTGTCTCACGAAGATCATCATCTGTGATACCTGAAAAAGTAGCGTAGCTACCAATAACTTTCAAGCTCATAGTCGGACAAGGTTCAAGAAGTAACTAATGACTAATGGCCTAGTTATCCCAATCATTACTTCATTAGAGTGAAATCTTTCAGGCAACTAAAAAAATAAAACTAAAGAGGAGGGAGGTCTAGTGTGCAGCTGGAGCCAGGGAGCTCAGCTCCCTGTCAGTGTCTTAGTTTAGGCCAGGTTTTGTTTGTCGGGTCATTTGTATATTTTCCCATGGCGTGTTAGTCGTACTGTTAATCATTGTGGAGGGTGCTATAGCCCTCTCATTACTATTTTTTCTTCATCTTTTTATTATTGATTGAAATGATATGCAGCTCTCCTGCAATGCACATTCGAGAGAAAAAAATAGCACGACTAGTATGATACGACAAAATCACCAATAAAATACCCAAACGGAAACAGAGGAGATGGATGATCATCAAAAGGCATAGCACTTTATATGTATCTGTTATTGAACATGTAATTTCAGGATAGCTGTTCATTAATTCATAACTCGTACCTGTTTCAAATAGTGGTAACCGCAACAATAGATCACTGGCATCAGTTTGATGTCTTCTAGAAGCCCTTCGACCATCAAATTCATCTTCATCATCCTCAAAGTCTTCAATGTCATCTATAGTTAATTCCTTCTCGGTCGGAGAATCAAATGATTGTGATTTTGTCAAGTTGGTAGCTGCGACTGGCGATGACACAATAACTGGTGCTGGTTCCACATCCGGTGGTGGTATCACAACTGGTGATGATGCAGTGGATGGGATAGGTGGTGGTTCTCTTGTTGGAGCTGGTCCTGAATATTCTGGTTTTGTAAGCAAATAGAACTCCTCTACAGCTCCAGTGTTATTCTGGCCAAAGAAATAATAGTATTTAGGTACATGGATAAAATGTATGCTCTGAGAATTTTTTTACATCAAAATAAGGGAGACAGAAGTATCTAGATGTTCAAATGAGATGTGATACAAAAGAACTAACTCAAACGAAAACCAACAAAAGAACTTTTCAGCAAGACAAAAAGATTTATAAGAAAACAAAATATAAACCAACTCACCACATATGGATAATCAAGGCTATCATGAAAAAGGCGGATGGCATCTCCAAGGTCAAGAGGTTCACCTACATTTTCTAAGTGTTCTCAGAATTGATGCAAGAACAAACAAAAAAGGAACTCCGATAAAGCTATACTTCACCTTTCTTAGCACAGTTGAGGACATAATCAACACTGACTTGATCTATATCTACATCATCCAAAGAGATTGCACCAGGTGGCATTACAACTTTCTTGATCAAGTTGCCAGAAAGAATGTAGTTGAGTAATACTTGACGGTCACGGCGATAACGTTGCAGCAGCTCAACAACATTTTCTCTGGTTAATTGGAAACATGAAACAGTCACTATGCAAGTAAATGTAACATCTTTAGGAAAGAAGGTTTATTCTGCAGCAATTCTTACTCGTCCATATTATATATGCTGGGGCGGCAGCGCTCTAGTTTTAAAACCGTGATAGAGGTGCTACCAAATTCCTCACAATCAGCATAGCTGGAATAGAAAAAAAAAATTATATACTATTACATCTAACAAAAATCACATGCAGCATGGTGCGTAATAGGAGATGTTCGATAATCAGTTGCAAAAGTAACTTGCACTCTTGATGAAGTATGCATTGTTGTGTACAAAAAATTGTCAGTGAACTGCAATTCTCATCTAGTGGTAGATGTTCGTGTGTGAAAAAAATTGAGGTAATCCATATGGAATTTCACGCAGACAAATTCATGATTAGCAAATAGGAATCCTCACTAAACAGTCAGAGACTCAACATTTATGACTTGGCAACAGACAATGCAACTGACCATAGCTCCCAGGACACGCCTGATCCAACCAAATTAGGGAGCAAAGCAACGCCACAGCCAACCACGCAACTCGTGCCAAAATGAGAGGAAACACACAATGCCAAACAAACCCGCGCCCTATTTGACTCTCACACACACTGATTAAACCCCAAATGCCCAACTCACAAACCATCCCGCGCTCCATTCCTACCAGACCCACGCGCGCCCGAGATTAAGCGACGGACGCCGAAGCAACGAGCCCACTGCCCACCGGTGGTCCAAACCGCAGAGCTCTACCCGTCCACTTCCCCAGGACTAGATGGCAACGGGGATATACCCGTCGGGTATCGCCGGAACGTTCTCTTCCCCGCTACGGAGAATTCATCCTGTCCCCGTTAACTGTCTCGGGTATAGATTCTTGCCCATCCCCGTACCCGTCGGGCATCGGTCGGATAACAGATACCCGACGGATACTGCATACCCGATAAACAAGGACAGTTGGGGTCGCAGCTTTGCAATCGGAGACGTTTCTTCTTCACCCGGGTATAAGTGTCGGTGTCTCGGAGATGCCGAGGAGAAGGAGCGAGGTTGCGAGGAGGACAAGCAAAGGTGGCAGAGAGACCGAACTGAGGAAGCGAGGGGCACGAGCGCTCGTGAGGCAGGCGTGCTTGTGCTGTTGGCGGAGATGGTGAGGAAAAATTGAACTAGGGTTCCTAAAACACACAAACTATATATATAATTGTTCAGATTTGGATCAAAATACCTATGTTGAGCTTCTTTGGGCCTAATACTCGCATGACAGCTCAAATAGTCGGGTTCCCCAACAGATAACGGGGACGGGTAAACAGGGAACGTTTCCGTACCTGCTAAACCCGTCGGGGATGGATTCTTGCCCATTTAGATGCCCGCGGGTAAAGATACAATCATATCCCCGTCCCCTAATGGATCAAATACCCGTCGGGTATCATGTATCAGGGGCCGTTGCCATCTTTACCCAGGACGCGCCCACCACTACAGAGCAGCGCCAGCGGCCAGCGCGCTTCCAAATGAGATCTGAGTGGACAGACTAGAAGACGAGGGGGGTTGGGTACCTGCGCGGAGCCGAGATCTAGCGGATCGGGGAGCAGGTGGAGTTTGATGGGGGTGGGGGAGGTTACAGCCGCGTGCTCGCCGGTGGGTACCAGACTAGCTCGCCGGAAAGGCATGGAACGGAAGAGAACGCGGGAGCGAGACGCGACACGCGAGATCAGCAGGGTGAGCAGTGCAGACAGCCAAGTACCCGGCTGGAGTCGGACCGAGGCTCATCTGACGTGCCAAACCCAAACGTGTCACGTGTGTGTTGGGAAAAAAACAGGAAACCTGAAAAAAAAAAAAACCTGCGACCGCAGCCCGGGGCAACTCCCCCATTCGGTCGTTCCCGGCTGGCTTCCCGCGGAGAAATTTCACAGCAGCCGTCAGGCGGCGCTGGGTAGCGGGGGAGTCGATGGGGAGGGCAGTGGAGGGCCAGCCGACGGGCTACGGACGGGAGCGCACAGGCGGCCACTGGTCCCGTCCGGCTGTCTCTTCTGAGTCACAACGGAAGGAGATAATTGGAATTTTGCTATTACGAAACATGCGCTTCGTTCTTTTGCTATCCCGCAAAATGGATTCGCTCGTTTGCCACTATGAAACTGACGCACTCGTTAGAATGTCATTTTTGTATTTTATTGCCAAATTTTATTTATTTATTTTCGCGACCTCTTTTCTTTCCCATTTTGCCCCTGCTCACCAGCAACCGTATCTCTCGTATCCAATCCATTCGATCCCCCATTCGTTCGGTCACGGGATAGACCGACGCCGCCAGGGCTGACGCGTACTCGCCGAGAGCCCCTTGCCGCCGCCCCGACGCGTCCGCGCCAGCCCCCCGCCGCCGCCTCGACGCGTCCGTGCCAGCCCACCTCCTCGGCTGTCTCCCCGTAGCCAGCCAGGGGTCCCGGCACCGTCGCCCACGCCCGCGCTGCTCCAAGTGCTGGATGGACAACCACCGGTCAGATCTCATCCTAGGGTACGCATTCTTGCTAGCGTGTAGATTAGCCTCTATTAGTGTAGATTAGCCTAGCACATGGTTCACCATAATGCCTGCTTCTTTTGTGAGTCTAGTGCGGTTCTACATACCTTCTTCGTTGTCTCACGAATGCTCTACTACTTAGCTTCTTTTTGACCGGTACTCCCATATGATAGTTTCTGAGTTGTGAACTTGATTGCCTAGTTTTTTAGACCCATCATTAAATTGAATTAATCTTTCTTGTTTTCAATGGTCTGGATGTTCGCGATAAACCTGATGGCTTTTGATTTATTAGGTTGACCCTCATAACCCAATGTCTTTTCATTTATTAAGTTTACGCTCATGTGCTGTTTTTCAATGATAAAATGGCACCTAGGTTGTGCTCATGTACATAGAACTTTGAACCATTATGGTGATAATTAAGAAGTAAAAAAAGAATAATTCTTAGTCCTCTAATTTATGGTGGTAATCTAACTTTGGAGATCTCCTAACTGTACCACTTTTTTCCTGTACTAGGCTCGATGGAGAGCCTGAACTTAGCTTAGCAGCGGTAGAACCTCAGCTGCGGACACCTCTTGTTGATTTGGATACGCTATGCATTGAAGAAAGTCGAGATGAAGAGAGAATAATAGAGATGGTGGATGATGAGGTGATGTATGCATTGTTGGGACTTAGGCTTGAGGATGAGGAGGCTGATAAGGTAAGGGAGGCAGCTAGGAAAGTTTGCGGTGAACAGAACAACGATACTTGGGAAGTTCGTACAACTGGGGCAGCCATTGATGTTGATGACTATTTACCAGGGGAGCTTAGATTGGCTGTGAGACAATTTGCTATAAACGAAGAGTTTGAACTACACATTGTCAAAACAGACCCATCTAGATACATTGCTGATTGTAAAGGAGAAGATTGTCGTTGGCATCTTGTTGGGCGTAGACAACCTGATGGGTGCACCATTATGGTACTAACTTGCATTTTTTGTCCTTCTATTATTGTTTGCATTCACTAATTATTTTTTTTAGGTGACAAAGCTTATTGGTGACCACACATGTACATCAAGTGCTAGGAGGAAGACTACGACACCAACCAGTGCTTGGATTGCTACCAAGGCAATACATCACCTTAGAAAGAAAACAAGTATGGGTTGTAAGAAACTGCAAAAACTTTGCAGGATGAGCAGAAGTGCCAAATTCATTATGACATTGTTTGGAAAGGTAGGCAAATTGTTTTGAGAGAATTGTATGGCAAATGGGAAGATAGCTTTCAGCTGCTATTCAATTGGAGGGCTGAGGTACTGAAGAAGTCTCCAGACAGTGTTATTGAGATTGGCATTAAGAAGGTAGACGGCATGTTCTATTTCCATAGACTTTTCTGTGCACTACAACCTTGCATTGAAGGTTTCTTAGAAGGATGTAGGTCATACCTTAGCATAGACTCTACTACACTTAATGGTAGATGGAATTGTCATTTAGCTGTTGCTTGTGGTATAGATGGTCACAACTGGATGTACCCAGTTGCTTTCGGCTTCATTGATGGTGAGACAACAGATAACTGGACTTGGTTTATGACTCATTTGCATAAGGCCATAGGAGATCTTCCTGTTTTAGCTATCTCATCAGATGCATGCAAAGGTCTAAAAAATGCAGTTCAGAAAGTGTTTCCTAAGGCTAAACATAGGGAGTGCTTTAGACATCTAATGAACAACTTTATTAAAAAGTATGGTGGTGATGTATTCTCTAAGATGTATCCTGCAGCTAGAGCTTATAGATAAGAAGTTTGCGGTTACTTTTTCAATTCAATTGTTGAAGCTACTCCTGATGTGTTGTTTGGCTAGAGGCTCACCATTATAAGCTATAGATGAGATCTGCCTTCAATCCTGACATTAAATGTGATTATATCACTAATAACTTTGCTGAAGTGTTTAACAATTGGATCAAGGACTAGAAAGACCTTCCTGTTGTGGAGCTCACAGACAAACTCAGAGAGATGATAATGGTGTTGTGGGCGAAAAGGAGAAGAATTTTAGAAAGGCTTCATGGGAAGATCCTCCCAGCAGTCATACATCAGTTGAAGGCAAGAACAAGAGGACTTGGGCACTTGACTGTTGTAGACTCCGATAGTTCTGCAGCAGAAATTTAGGACACCACAAACACTAATAGTAGACATGTTGTGAAGTCATATCTTCATGAGTGCACATGCTTTGAGTGGCAGCATATTAGTAAGCCTTGCCAGCATGCTTTGGCTTTGATAACAAGTGTATAGTCTGCTAATATAAATATAGAGAATTTTGTGCACGAGTATTACTCTGTTGAGAGGTTCTAGGTAGCCTATAAGAGACTTATAGAGCCATTGCCTGATAGGTCATAGTGGCCAAATGTTGATTTGCCCTTTGTGCTTAAGGCACCCCTTGACAAGAAGGCAGCTGGTAGGTACAGAAAACTCAGGATGAAAAGCTTCCTTGAAGGTAGTGGAAGCAAAGAAAAGAAGACAGCCAAGGAAGCAGCAAACGAGGCAGATAAACAAGCTACGAATGAGGCACAAAACGGCAAGAAAACGATGATTAGAGGCAAAAGGAAGTGCAAGAGATGTGGAGAATTGGGCTATGGTGAAACAAGCTACAAATGCCGTCTTAATGGGACTAAGAAAAGGTAAGACCTACTATATTCACTTGCTGTCCTAAATTGTTGTGCTCATTAACTTGAATATTTGTCTCTAAACTTGCAGGCAAAGGAAGCCAAGGAAAAATACAACAAAGTATGGTGAGAATGCAAAGATCCTAGCAAAGAGAGCAAAGAAGGGCGGGGACAGTGCTGCTGAACCAACACTGCAAGAAATAGCACCACCAGCCCCAAATCCTTCCAATGCCCAAGTCTTGGCACCAGCAGCCCTAAATACATTCTCCAGCCCCACAAGGCTCACAAGAGAGCAGATCATACAAAACAGCCCCATTAGGGTGACAAGAGGGTATGCAACAGATTAATTCTCATTGTTTTATACTTGTACACGAGCAAAAAATGACTCATAGTGGTACTTTTATTGCAACCGACTCCACACACTGCTAGGTAAAGGTGTGGATCCCATCATTGCTGCCTCACTAGACAAAGACAGTCCAAAAGAGGAGCCTAGCAAAAAAATTGAAGCCAAGGAAACTGAAAACCAATTGA